AGCTGAGCTGAAAGAGAAAGAAAGACTTGAGAAAGAAGAACAACTTCAAAAAGAAAGAGCTGAGAAACAAGAGGCAGAAAGACTGGAAAAAGAACGTTTAGCTAAAGAGGAACAAATTAAGAAAGAAGAAGAACGACTTCAACAAGAGAAATTGGCAAAAGAAGAGGCTGAAAAACAAAGACTTCAATATGAAGAGGAGTTAAAAAGGAAACAAACCATTAACAACAAACAAGCAGTGTATTCAAACAATATAGTGAGAGACGAGAGTGAATATCGAATGCGAGAAACTATCAAAATGAAACAGCAGCAACGGGAAAGTATAACAGAAGCTGCAAAGAAGAAAGAGACTCAGCGACTGACTACAATACAAGAAAGACTTCAAAAGGAAATCTTACTTAGACAACAACGTGAGGAACAAGCAGAAAAGGAGAGTCTTGACAAAGAAATAGAAGCCGAGCAAAGTCGAAGAGCGACGCCCATCATATTCAAGTCGAAACCCGAGTCGAATGTGAGGAGTCCACAGAAAAGCACCGAAGAAGAAACGGAATCGATGACTTCCGACCACAAGAAAAGCCTTGAAAGGAAGGAAGAGGAAGCTAAAGTCGAACAGCTGTTAGCGGAAAATGATCGACTTGAAATGGAAAACAAAATTGCTGTTAAAAAGGCTGAAGAAGAAAAATTGGTTAGCATGCAGTGGGATGAAGGGTATGAAAGTGACTCAAATAGCCAAAGCTCACGTGTCGAATTGAGCGATGACGAAGACTTTGAACTTGAAGGAATGATCAATAAGTCTGAGGACGAACGAAAGGAACAACTGAACCAAATTCGAAAGAGCAGAACAACAAAGAGCATCGACGTTTATAAACAACAAAACGATATGATGAAAGAAGTCGCGAAGGAGGAGGACGAGAGTTTGAAAGAGAACGAAGACAAGGTACGTTCTGCTGAGGACAAGAACTCACCGAAGAATACGCAGAGTACATCGGTCGAACAAGTCGAGAAAAACAGTGAAGACGAAAAGAAAGAGAAAATCGAAAAGATGGAAAGTATAAATCCCGTCGAACGGATCCAAGACGAAATCAAAAAGAGGCGAGACGTTGATTCACTCATGGACGAGTATCGTGACACAATCAGAGTGTGGATTCGTATGACCTGTTATAGTGTGAAATATGACAGTACAATCCATGGGATGTCTGCACTCAATTTCAACTCTAAAGTGTGCGGTAAAGAGAATATAATGATCATCGTTATAACGACAGAAGGGTATTCGTTTGGCGTCTTTAGTAAGAAACCATTACCAAAAGCTCCAAAGAAAGGATACAAATACGTGAAAGACGATAAAGACTTCTTTGTGTTCTCGTTGAAGTCGCCGAGTGGAAGTGAGGCAACTATGGTGAAGAGAAAGAAGAAGGGAAAGAGTGTGTGTATATGGGCGAATAACTGTCGTGCGTATTCATTCACTGTTAAACGATTTATTCGAGTCACTCCCAGCGTAGAAGGGTCACATTTCATTCCAAATTTGTATGGAAAAGAGTACAACGACACGATGAAGAGAGGATTTTCTTTTTACACAGGGAGTGTGAACTTCTCTGTGGATAAAATTGTTGCGTTACAGTGGTCATAAATTGTGTTTATTTCAGTGTTTTTTATTATAGAATTTTTTTTGTTATTTTTAATATATATTAATAGTTTCTATATAAATGATAAACAAACTTAAATTTCAAATTAAGGTTAATCTTCATATATCTTCATATAAAATAAAAAATAACCTTTGTTTTTTAAAACTTAACTATGTTTTATATCAAAATAATAATAAAGTTTAGTTTTAGAATTAGTCAATTATGTTGTTAGTTAACAGAAATAAAAATTATTATATTAAATTATTAACAATTACTTATAATTATTCAATGTTTAGAAAACTATAATAATATTCAATACCATTTATAATATATATATATTAATATTATATTAAATATAATATATATTATATTAAATATAATATATATTATAATATATATATATATATTAAATGCCACTTATAATCAGAGGTTTCCATAATCCCAATGCTAATTACCCACGTCACCATTTTATAACCAAAATGTTCATTTTTTCTTATAAATTCGTACGTTATAATACCACTTTTTCGGCAATAATTATTATGGAAACGCCTGCTTTTAACACAATTTTTTATTTAATTCATGTTCATGTATTATAAATTAAATTCAAACAATCATGGTATAACTGAAAAAAACATGTTTTTCATTCAATAAATGTTTTTAGTTGATGAAATAAATCTAAAAATTAAATAAGAATCAAATTACAAACAATGCAAAGAAATAAATCTTCTACAAGAACATTGAAAGTCTAAATTCTTCATCAAAGGGTTAAAAGTGTTCTCCTTTGATGTGTAATAATGCTTAAAACATGGATTAACAGTGATTTTCATATTTCTGCCATCCAGAAAGCGGAGCAGCATGAGATTAGTATTTTGTTGCCGTCTGGGAATACAGTAAAGCTGTTTTTCATATCTGTTTTCGAGTGTAAATTGCAGGCTCAACTTTTTCTTTATTCATAATAAAGATAAATAGGTTGTCAGATTCTGAAATCAAAGGAGCGTTTTTTGAAGTGTTTTTGATTAAATCTTTTTGATAAAAACCAAACACAGAACTGTGTGTCTCAAAAATGAAAAGTGTATTCTTCTGTCCAATTAAAGAAGTTTTAATTTCTCTTTGAGTGACTTCAGATGCATTTGAATCAAAAATGATTTCAAAACGTGTAGATCCAGTCAACTCAAGTAAAATTTTGATAAAAGAGTTTTTTGAATTAAACTCAAATGCTGCATTACTTTCTTTGCAAGCGGAAAATCTTTGTTTTCTGTTTAAATTATTCTGAGACATTCTAAGTTTCAAATTTGAATGTGGTCGTCTTTTGTGAATAGATACAAAACAGTTCGTGTTACCCATTGATCGAGTTAACAGTTTTCGGAGGGTTTAAATATTTATTTTTTTAAAAAATCCTTAAAAGTTGATTATTTCAATTTTTAATTCACAAATTTATTTGTCATCTTTCAAAAAATCCAGCTCTCTTGGAAGTTTGTTTGTTGTGATAATAAAACAGAAACTCTTATTCATTATTTTAAACACTCGAACTTCAAAATAAAGTCATAATGTGTTAATTAAAGGGAACAAATTTAGGTCGGATTTTGCGAATTAAAGTTTGTTCATTTATTTTTGTCATTTGTTCCCTCACATTATAAAAAAATGAAAAATTCCCTTCATAAATGTTTTTTTTTCAAACAATAACATAAAACTTTTGTAAAAAAACATAAAAAAATAAACTTTTTTAATACAAAATAACTCTTCAAATTTTGTTTGATAAATGATATTTTTAGCAATTTGTGTTATAACATTTGAAAAGTTATTAAAAAAATCAAATTTATTTCATATTGTTATTGTAAATATTGGTAAACTATTCAAATATTATTATAATTACTACCATTAAAAAAATATAGTTAATTATTATAAAATTTATTACAGAAATTTTTGTAACAAGAACTTATTAGAATTAATCAAAAACTTTTGATCTATACGAAAATTTTGAACATAAACTCGAAATTGTTTATCAAACTCGTTGAAAGAGGGATTATATCATTGATAATGTCAGACTTAAGTATTGTACATTTTAAAAAGTATTTGGAGTAGAAGGAATTTTTGTTTTTAAAATCGTTTTTTTCGTTTTTAGTTAAAAAATATTTTTTTTTTGTTTTTTTTAAATAAAATTACACTAAAAAATTTAAGTATTTTGCATAAACACTAGGCTTCGCACCCAAGAATTTTATTATCAAAAATTAGTCTCAAAAAACGCTAATTCTAATATAATAAAACGGGTCATTTTTTCTTTCCCGTTTTATTAGATTTTTTAGATACTAATTTTTGATAATAAAATTCTCGGGTGCGAAGCCTAATAAACACAAAAAACTCAAAAACAACTAAATAATTGAATAACATTATATAAACATTTTAAGAATAAAACCATTTGAGTTTTATTCTAAAGCAATTACAACCCGGAATATAGGATTTAAAATAAATACAAAACAGTCAACAAAACCACTCTAAATGTTAAAATATTGATAATATTTATCCAAAATTTAAAACTTGAATAAACTAATTATAATCAAGTTTTGTCTTCAATCATCTAATGAATATATTCACCTTTTTTTCCAATAATATCGAGTTTGTATTCTTTACGTTGATTTTCACATAAACTAAAATAAAGAACACTGTCTACAACAACAAAATATGAAATAAACTCATTTAACGTTAACAAACCAATTACAAAAACAATTATTAAACTCAGCATTTCCTTCTTTAGAACAAAAATTGCAGAATTATGGGTATTTTAAGATGTATAATCATTTGGATAAAACACCAACAACATTTAATTAAAAGTTTGTTTATATAAAACATATCATTTTATTAAATGTCATCATTATAAAAAACTTGAACTTTATCAAACTTCAAACTGGAATAACATATGAAAACTTTTCAAATTATTTAAATAACATCTTTTATATACACGATTGCATCACTTCCCACATTTGTCTTTTTCCAAAACCAGAAAGTCGTGAAGAAGGCGCCTGACAGTTCTGAAGTTCTTGAGGAGATTCTCAAAATGGTGCAATTATTAATTCACTGTTTTATTATGGTGTTTTATTAATTGACAATATTATAAATGTATGTTATGTTTTCAAATGGAAGTATTGTTGTATTTGTACCAATTGTCAAGACTCAAATTTCAGATTGAGTCTTGACAAATGGAAGGTGTAGATGTGTCACATTGTATAAAAAGAAACTGATGTCAAAACAGTCACCAGAAAGCATGGTGATCCACTTGGAGATGTTTGAAAATGTTGCAACAAAACACAACACCCCTTTACAGAAGAAGGCAGTCAAAACAGTCACATACATCACACTGAACAAGCAAGACGATAAGAAACAGAAACGGTGGGCTTATCAAAATCTCAAGAACAAGAAACCAAAAGGTAAGAATCCAACACATGTTGAAGTACGCTCGCAATTTGCTCTCATTTGATTATCATTTAATTTGATTGTGTTGTTTTAGAAATCAATTAAATTCTTTAAAAATATACTATTTATTATAATTATATAATAATTAAAATACATAAAAAATAGTCAGACAGACTTCAGTGCCTCTCATCTCAGAGTGTTGTGAACGCACTCGACCCCTCAACAAGTAGTTCATCGTGCATTTCTGCGTATCTCCCTTTGGCACTGAAGTAATGAAAGTCTTCATCCTATTTTGTGAATTCTATTTGTTACATAGAAAGTGACATACTCTAAGAATGATCCTAGTCGTACGGTCTAATTCTTGTTTATTATTTCTTTATCTTTATACTTGTTGCCATTTTTAATAATTATGGGTTTTTTGATATTCTAATTATTATTTATTATTTATTATTTATTATTTATTATTTATTATTTATTATTTATTATTTATTATTTATTAATTATTAATTATTAATTATTAATTATTAATTATTAATTATTAATTATTTATTAATAAATAATTATTAATTAATTATTAATAATTAATAATACCATTATATTAATAATTATAATTTATTATTCAATATAATATACCAATTAATTATATATCATAAATAATAAATATAAATTATATTACTATATTTTATTAATTATCAAATTACTAGAATTAGTTTCTTAATAAAACAATTATTAGTAAAAATAATTATAATTTTTATATAATTTTTGTTTATAAAAGACATACAATAAGTGTGAAAAAAGTTAGTTAACTTAGGATGATCCAGAGTTAGTTGAATAATCTGCACCTCCTACCTTTTTAAGTTTTGCAGCAATTTCTTCTTCCTTCAAATCATCAAGAGAAGTTGCGTGGAGTTCGATGTGGAAGTTCTTGAATATCTCGTTCTTCATTTCTCCCTTCAACATAGACATTGAAGCTCTCAACTTTGGTTTAGTGATACTTTCAGACGCCCATGAGATAAGTACGAACTTGACTCTGTGTGACTCTGCATCTCCACTGATAGTTCTGTAATAAGCAAATTGGATTTGGTCATCTTTCAATGCTGCTTTCACTTCATTAAGTCCTCCCTTTCCTTTCACATCCAACACGACCTTATTTGGGTTAGTAGTCACTCCGAAGACACAGTACTCGACATCCGTGTTTTTGTCATCGATCACTTCGTTGACTGCATTCACAAGCTCTGGGTCAGACAAATCAAAGGCCATCTGTTGATATATCTTCTCAGTTTCTCGCCTTTATATTATCCCAAGGACCACTCAATAACAAGCAAACTCGTTAAAGTTGGACTCGAGTTTGATGCCCATAACTCCAAATCGGTGTCTTAATACATTTCTTCACTCTATTTATAGTATATTTTATTATAAATATAGTAATAAAACTGTTGTAATGTTCCCGTTATAGAACATCGTCAAAGCAGGATGAAACTGATTAGAATGTAATAAACGAATCAATCAAATCATAATTTCAAGTTCGTAACGTCTGTACATGTTGTCTCCATCGTCTTCAATAACCGGATACACGGTAACAAGACCGTCTTGGTTCCCAACATACATGTTATTATACACACGCCAGTACGGTTCTCTCACACTTCTTGCTGGATGAAAAAGCCCTTGCAGCACATACATCATCAACACTCGCACGCCTAAAGACACTCTGAGTCCTTCAATCGCTTCGATAGTTGCGTTAATCACATGGGGAGATGTTTCAAAGATATTAGGCCAGACGTAGTTCAGTAAGTGCATTAACCCATCTTCACAGCCTAATCCATACACTCCAAGTGCTATAAACTTGACTATAGTACAAGCAGTCTGTCGGTGAACAGCGTCTCTCTCCGACAACGCGTCGCATATGAGTGGTATAACACTGTATATATAATCCTTCGACTTCTCGCCAATGTACTCAAACAAGAAGGCAAACGCCTTCAAGACACCAGTCTTCACATTAGTGTCTGGCATTCGATACTCGTTCATTAATGATGGGATGACAGTAAAAGGTGCGCACGAGTCCGCAACAACTGCAATGGCAATTGTAGTACACACACGCAACTGTCTATCAAGCACCTTCAAGTTGTTGAGTAACATAATGAGGACTTCTTGTGGTCCAATAGCCTTTGCAATGAACCCAAACGTATCAACTGTAGCACGTCGAATCGATTTTTTGTGTGCTTTAAAAGTGTCAAGTAACTCGTGGCATATCCGCATCCATTCTTTTAAGTGAACCATCTCCGCTCCCGTGTCTGCACTTCCTTTAGCGATGATTCCAATCAATCCTATACACGCTTCCTCTATTCTTTCATTTGTGTTGCGCAGTATTGGGGTAAGTCGAGGAACCAAATCACCAAGACTTGGTCTGACATCTGTAATACCAACCACATCGATAATTTCTTTCATAGTAGTTAATGAAGAGGATAACACATCAGTGTTTGTCTCTCCTAACAATTCATAAACCATCTCCCCAAGTCCAATCAACTTTTCTCTCTTCTTGCAAAGGGTATATAACTGCGCAATGTTGCCTAACAACTCAACAGCAAATTGCCTGATTTTGGCTGCTTTATTGTGTACTCTCCATTGAATGTGCTCACTAATTGTGTCAAGATAGGTGCCAGCGCGCTCTTTAAAGTGATTCATGATCGACCCAATCCACTTCAGTCCTTCACTGTTCTCATCCCCCGAAGTTTGTTCATCAAACGAATACAACAATTTATCGAATATGACTTTCTCCAACTCCGCATCGATGTCATACACACCATATTTTTCAATTAACAATTCGATCGTCTTAAGCGTCATCTTTCGGAACGGCTCATTCTCATCTCCTACTTTCAACACGATTTTGTCGATGACGTACTTCCCTCCTAACTTCTCACCAAAGAGCAACGCCGTGTCGACAACTTCTTTACTCAACTTCTTGTCTATCGAATTTTGGCGTTGCCAGAAATGTTCGAAAAATCTGTCCGGCACATTCTCGCGACCAACATCTTTCCCTATAATCGGAACACTCATACACTGCCGAACTACTTTCAATATCGTCTTCTTCATCTCGTCGTCGCTCGTGCGGAACTCGCGAATGACTACTTGCAGGATCTCCCACCCATAGCGAGCAGCAACTTCCTCATCAACCACCGCGATGATCTGTCCCGCGGCTTTCACATACGCCGCAAAGTGTCTCCCTCGCATTTGTTTGCACTCTTTGACTATCGGTTCGACAACAGTCTCAAACACTTCCCCTCCATACGGGTATGAAGCTTCCGCTAGTGCAGCAACAGCCAATGCGGCAAATTTGGCCACAATAGATTCACTGTCAGTGAGTCGTGGAGTGATGATGCCAATGAGTGGGGTTAAATGGGGGAGCACGGAACACCCCATCAATATCGCGATTTGTTGTATACACTTCAGTCCCGTATGTCTTGCATACCAACTCTTTTTGGACCAGCACACGGCTTTGAGAAATGGAAGTAACACCGGAATGCCCAACGCGGCAGCGACTATTGCAAACGCCCGCGCAGTCATGTTTCTATTTGAGTCTTCGGGTGAGTCGATGTCTGGCCTCATCGCAGCTACCATTGTGGGAAGACCCGCCGCTTTAGCCAAATTCGACACGATTTCGCGTCCTTCAATTCGGGTGACATAATCCGGGTCTTCTAGCAACGGATTTATGACAGAAAGTAACTTCGCGGCGTAAGGCCTCACCAATGTGTCCAACTTGAATATCACGCGATTGACTACTTTGACCAACAAGTGCCGTTCTTGTTGTTCTAATGTGATGGAGAGTAACAACGGAAGTATCTGACTGAACAAAGTCTCCGCTCCAAATTCTCTTGTTCGTTCCGTTAACTGTCTCAGCGCTTGTTTTCTCATCGCGGGAGTTCCGTTCTTGATTCTGAGAAGTAGTCGCTTCAGGTGGATGTTTCTCTTCTCCTCCGCAGTCAAAAGCGACTCGTCACGTTGCACCAACGCGTCCTCAAAAAACGCTCTCTCATCAGGTTTGACTTCAGGAAGGTCTGGCGCCATTTGAGAAGTTTGGAGTGGCGGTGGAAGCACGGTTGGTGCCTCTGGTTTTAGCGCTTGGTCCAATATTGTCGGCGCAACTGTCGGTTTTTCGTCCCAACGCGAACGCCGCTGACGAGGGGAGTAATCTGAAGAATCGCTCGACGAGTGTCTGTGATGGCTCCTCTCACTTTCACTGTCACTACGTGGCATATGTTCTGTAAATTGAGTTTTCACTTGTTAATAATTATTACTAACGATTAGTTAATATAATTCTAATTTTAATACTAGTCCAATTGATTAATATAATTTAACAGTATAAATAATTAAAATATAGTACATTACAATGTAACATTTAAACTATAAATTATAGTAAAATAAATTAGAATGATACATTTAAAAAAGAAAAAAGTGAAATACCAAACGAAAGATGATTCTTTTGAATCTGTCTTTTCTATTTTTTCATGTTATTTTATCATTGGTGAAGAGTGGAGTAGTTTTGAAGACGACAACGTTTATTATTTCATCTGTTCGTTTTTGTTTGTAATTAAAAAACACGACAACTCATTTCATAGAAAACGGTCCAAGAATGTGTAGATACCCAATGCACCTCTTCAATGAATTTTAAAGACTATTTCGAGTGCTCCAATGTGGATTACAATCAATCAATATTTACAACGGTGTTCACATTGAGTATTCCGGAAAGTGTGACTTCGATGAACTCGACGTTTCTCTTGACCACAAAGAAAAATTTGGATAGGTATAGTCCCCCGTCTTTTATGTCGATAAGTGTCAATGGCGAAGAGCTTAGACTCGGGGAGTTAAGTCACGAATACACTACTGCTGATGACTCTTGCTGCTTTTCTAATTATTCGATATTCACACAAACCTCATTCTTCAGATCAGGCAAAAACGTGATAAGTATAACACCACAGACAAATATAGTGTGTCTCTCTTCTTTCCAAATTACTGTGCAATACTACTTACACCTTCCTGATATCTTCGACGTCACTCCAACTGCTGGGCCGATCAGTGGAGGGACTCATGTGACAATATATGCTGCCGATATTGATAAAGAACAGACGTACTTTTGCTTCTTTGGTAATGAGAAATCGTTATTTACTGCGACTTCTTCGAACACCGGGAATTGCACAACACCAAAAATCGAGAGTGTTGGAAACGTCTCGTTTTATTTGGGGTTCTCTGCAGAAGACCCAAAACCAACAACAACACAGAATTTCACATTTTATGACATCACTATAACAGACGCAAATTTCGAAAAGTATGAGGGAAACTCCATCATCAGAATCACTGGAAGTGGTTTCATTAACACAAAGACTCTTCTCTGTTTCATTCAAAAACAACGCGATTCGCCGAATGCCACTCTCTCTTCTTTTAGAGAAGATTACAATGTTCTCAATTTCACTGCAGAGTTTATCGACACATCACATGTGGCATGTCAAGTCACTGATATCAACGAGGGGAAGTACTTGATTGGGCTCAGTTTGAATACAGCGGATATTGTCTGGAGTAACAGCGCAGTGTATTACAGTAAGTCCCATATTGACTCGCGGTGGATAGTACTTTTGGTCATATTAGTAGTCATCATTTTCTTTGTTGTTGTTTTAACAGGCCTTGGCATTTTCATTCGCAAAAAGAAGCAGAACACCATTGAAATTGTTCAAAACATTTCAACACGCGAAATAGTGTGTGAGGAGATCATAGGGAAAGGGTCTTTTGGGGATGTCTGGAGCGCGACGTGGAAAGGCCAAGAGATAGCCGTGAAGCTGATTCCACTTGAAAAGGTTCAAAAGGGTAAATTGAAGCAAACAATGAAAGAAGTTGAGTTAATGAGTTCATTGCGGCACCCCTGTGTTTTACAATTCTTTGGGTCAGGGATGGACGAGAAGTTTTTGTTGATAGCAATGGAGTTGATGACGAATGGAACTGCACGAGAGATTCTTGACAATTCGATGATCGAATTGTATTGGGAAAAACGACTGAGGATGTTGAAAGATTGTGCGAGTGGGATGGTCTATTTACATCACTGTAAACCGCCTATCATCCACCGAGACTTGAAAACTAATAACTTGCTAGTGGATGATAATTGGTGTGTTAAAGTGTCAGATTTCGGACTAAGTGTCCCACTGTATGGCGAAGAGATAAACCCAACTGCTATATGTGGTACACTCAGTTGGATGGCACCAGAAGCGTTATTAAATAAACCATATGGCACAAAAATCGATGTGTACAGCTTTGGCATTGTACTATGGGAATTTCTTACAAGAAAGAGACCGTACGGTAAAATGGATCCACATGAAATCCTTACGAAAGTCAGTCAAAAAGGAATGAGACCGGATATTCCGAAGGATGAGTGTGAGGTCAAAGGATATGTTAACTTCATGCAAATGTGTTGGGAAGAGTCACCTGAAAATAGGCCCACTTTTGATCAAATAGTCGACAAAATATCGGAAATGATAGATGAAATGGATAATTTAGATAAAAGCAAAGAAGAAGATGAAGAAGTGGAGGAAGAGGGAGACGAACGAACACCACTCATTTAATTTTTTTGTTATTATTTTCTGTTAAATACTAGTTCTTTTAATGTTTCATGCTACTGTAACAATTAAAGTGAAATGTATGAAAAGAAATAAGTTCAATTTTATTTTATTAAAACAGTTGTTTTTTAAAAAGGTATATTTTTGAATAACTACACAAAAAAGTATTTTAAAAAAATTGTACTTAAAATCGTTAAATCAAAAATTGGGAAAGTAACACTCTTGTACAATTCAAAAGTGTTAATATATTTGTGAATTCTCATTATTAAACTTTTGAGTTGAAATTTTATATTTTAATATATTAGAGTTTATTTGATTGAAATGATAATTGAATTTCTTTTTTGTGTTCAGAATTAATTGCTCTTTGTATTTTTTTTAAGAAAACATTTCAATACATTGATTGATAAACGAAAAATGCAAATGAATTAGTATTCAATAAAATAATTATCAGTGTTTTCAACAATATAATACAATTATCATAATACAGGAAAACTTCTCGTTCTTGGTTCTTTTTTTGAACATTATATTACAAATCATAACAAGAAAAAGTTTATTGAAAAGAAAAAATATAAATTTCATAACCACTATTAGAAGTTTTTATTTTCTTATTTGATTTACTTATGAAAGGTTTTAATGTATTACACAATTCATAATAATATATAAATTAAATTATTTAATGAGTTTATGAATTTGTATTTGTCATTTGTATTGAAAATAATTACAACGGCAAGAGTAACGTTTAATATATTGTAATTTATTTGATCGTTTTATACCTATTTTATTTAAAAAACAAAAATAATTATTAGAAATAAAAAATTATTTCTATTTTGTTTAAAAAACAAAACAATTTTATTTACAAGTTTGTTTAATTAGTGTCATTTAATATCAAAACATGTTATTCAAGTGTTTTTATCAATTTAAAATAATATTTAATCTTTTATCAGCAATTCAATAAAATAAAAAAAGTTTATTTATTTTGTCAAATTATTCTTTAATATACCTTTTCAATAATCTTATGATCATTTCAATACATTTAATGAAAAAGATCCAGTTGTAATAACTTTGAAGTTTGTTACAAATGATATTACTCAGAGTTTGTTATTTCTTAGATATTTTAAAACGATATATTTTTCAAAAATATACCTTTATATAATACAATTATTTTGATTAAATTGTATGTTCTTAAAGCTGAATTTAAACAAAGAGATGATTACTTTTTTACAAATTGCAAAAACAGTCAAAAATTTAAATTATCAATAAAATTATACAAAAAACCCGAATTATTATAACAATAAAATTATAATAATTCAAATAAAAAAAGAACTTTTACAAAAAACCAAAAACTACCTATTATTGTTATCTTTACCCTTATTGTATTCTTCTACATCAAATTTCAATTTCTTTTTTGAAAACCAATCATATAAAGCTTAAAACAACACTTGAGTAATTTTTCACTGTTTGTCAAAGTAAAGGAATTATCAGTTATTAACATGTGGTGTGTTCTCTCAACACTGAATAAATCAAAACCTTCGTCTAGCCTAAAAATAGCATCATCGAATCAATTCGAAAAATAAAACCACCCTTTTGAAAGGCCAAACAAATAGCAAAATACCTTTTCAAAAGTTTATTGTTTTTACAAAACTCGAAAAATTTAACTTAGAATTCCAATAGATGGAGAATATCCGTGGTGCCATCTTAAACAATGAGATGGTTTTGTCTTATCTTAGATGTGAGCTTATGCTTCTTCACACTCAAGCGCCATATTCCCAGATTTTAAAAATATATCTCACCTTCAACATCAGCCCCGAGCCGACAATCCCACAAGACCTTTTTATGATGATTCAGGAAACCATATCAAGTAGCGTAGAAGAACTTCCACAACCCAACCCAAACCCAATTAATCAAACAGTCGTCTCAGACGATGATGCAACAATCGAGCAAAATTCAGAAGAACTTAAAAAGATCGAGGCAGCGATGATTGAGGAAAAGCGTGAGTTGGAAAAAGAAAAACACAAAACCCGCCGTCCACACACACGGACTTCCACAAAAGACAAAACTGAAGAGAAAAACGCAATGAAACCGGTCCCTTCAAACACATCACCAAAAGCGCGAAAAAGACGAACACGAAAAACGACTCAGAAGAGTAAATTAGATGATGTGAATGAGCATTTAGTGAGTTTCATGAAGAGTAGGAGTGTTGGGATGATCAAAACTGGTCGAGTGGAGAAACAAGAGAAGGTGCTCAATGAAGATAATGACGCGACTGAAATTGAATCATTTCTGGGGAATGAAGGGGATGACAGTACAACGGAAATAGTTGAACCAACTGCAACACTACAAGTGTCGACAACTCAAATGGACGAAGAAAACACCAAAACAATTAAACCAGAAGTTGTTCAAATGGAAGAGGAATTGCCACGTATTGAGAAAGTTGAAACGGTTGAGACCATTGAAAAAAATGATAATACGAAAATGGAAGAGGAAGTCAAAGAAGTGCAGAAAACGAAAGTCGAAGGCGAGAACTTGGAGGAAAATAAAAAAGAAACGGAAACGCCTGTAATAGAGGCAAATACCCAAGAAAATGGACCAATAGAAAATGTTGGATTAAAAATTAATTTGCATTTTAACAACGAAAATACCATTCAAAATACAAATGAGGAACTCGACAAGAAAGAAGAAAACAACGAGAAACAAGAAAATGTGATTGAAAACGATGAAATAAAGAAACCAAAAAGAAAGACGTCGCGGAAGAGATCATCGAACCTCCCCGCACCCGTCAGAAGATTACAATCGAGAAAAAGAAAGACGAGAAAGAGGACAAAGAAGAGTGTTGTTAAAAAGATGGATATAGAAGAAGAAAATTCAGAAGAGAGTGAAAACAATGATGAAGAGGAGGAAGAAGAGAATGATACAAGCGATATGGAATCATCATCAAGTGATGAAGAGGAAAATGATAAAGAAAGTAAAAAGCAACACAAAAAGGTTAAGAAAGTTGATGAAACAGCTATTGAAGATAAAGAAGAGAAATTGAAACCTAAGAAACATCAGAAGAGGAAGCAAATTGAAGAGGAAAGCAGCGATGAGGAGAATGAAGCAAAGAATAAAAGAAAATTGAGACTCAGAAGTAGGTCAATACACCCACTTATAGACACGGTCGACGAGGTGTCATACACAACATGGAAGAGAGGGTACGAGAAAAGAAAAGAGAAGAAAAAAGATTGATTGTTATATACGTGTTTTGGGTTGTTATATGACGATAAATACCTTTTTAGCCACAAATGTTGGTATTAAAAAATAAATGTTATTCATGTTCTAATTTGGTAACAATTTGTTTTAAAAAGGTATATTTTGTAATTTTGTTAAAAAATATATTAAACAATTCATAATTATTTGACAATTTTGTATTAAGATAAATGTATTGTTTATTAAAAGTCCAATACAAAGTCAGCACAAATCATTGAATATTATACTGTTGGATTCATCCTTAATTTAACAATAATGGATTAAAACAATTAATAGAAGTTGCATTGTTTTGTCAAATGAAAAATTGTGTATTAATAAAAAAAGGTTAATTAAGTTGAACAAAATATAAAATAACATAGTGTGTTGTTAAATACATTAATAACATTGAATTGTATGAAATAAACATTTCAATAACTTATATTTTACTTGTTACAATCATTCTTTATAAAAAAATTCAAGAATATTTTTATCATCGTTCTTCATCATTAAAATAAACAATAAAATGTTTTCCATTATTTTACAACACAAACGACCCAATTCTCACTTTATTTTTATTCAATTGTTATGAAAATTGAATAAAGATGTGTAAAGATAATATAAAAAACAGTTTTAACTCTTGCGTACTGGATATATTTTATATAAATCACCTTTTAAATTATATCTGTATTTAATATTTAACATCTCTTTATTATTATCTAAAATTCTGTGGATGTCTGTTTGTTATTTTTATATATAAATAAAAATATAGTATTGTTTTAGTAGATTTTTTTTGAATTAGTTTTTGACTCCACAAATCAAAACTTGCTTTTTGCTCAGCAAAAAATGACTTTTGTCCACCTTTTTGATTGAAAAGAATTAGATTTTGGTCTTAAGATTATTAATTTTTTATTTAATAAAAAGAAACAATTTAAATAAATCACTTCCCTTATTTGGGGGAAAACAAATAAATGGTATAAAACATTAAAAACAAAAATGTTATTTTTATAAAATAACCAAAACTACCAATATTGAAAGGTTAGACAAACAATAAAGTATAACAAAACACAATCACTAATATATACGATAAGAATATATTAATGGATTTAACTTGTAATCAAATTTCGGTCTAAAATGGGTAAAAAAAGACTCTTTGAACCATAATTAAAAGTAGGCTAAACTTAATATTAGTAATAAAAACTATTAGATATAGTAACTAAACACTTCTTTTGAAACATAAAAAAATAAGAAATAAACAGAAAATACAAACATTAAGGGTCGTATGGCGGAACTGAAGACAGACGTTTTGACAAAGCTTAAGCAGTATCTCATATCAATACCAAACGGCGAGCACCTCTTTGCAACGCACTACGAAGAACTTTTTTCAGTTTCGGACTTCGAAATATTCCTCGTCAAATTAAACAAGATTAAGTGGCGTATGCGAGCAAACCCATTAGTACCTCAAAACATAAAAGATCAAATCACTTTGATGATTAAACAGTGTATCAATCTAGCAGTTTCAGATGATACGACGTTTGTTAGTGTTTGTTTAACTAACAACTTTATAAAGAATCAATTAATAATAATAATATTAATTATTATTAATTATTAATAGTAATTAGTTATGATTCTAACTGGTAGAGCTAAGAAGGAAATTGAAGCAAAAAACTTAATCAACTCCCCCGATACTCAAAGTCAAATTAGTGTGGAATACTGCGAACACACCAACGTTCCACTATATAATGCTTTATTAAAGGCAACGCCACAACAACTTGAAGTCATCCACGATATTATTCACAACTCATTTCATAAGACTTCAGATGATGGGGTGGTTTCTTACGACGACTCTGATTTCGATGTTGAGTTTGATGCGAATGAACTCACTCAAGAGTGTCAAGCTGATATTGTCAGTGTTTTGAATTGTAAATGAATTGAACTATACAATTACTTTATTTAGTAATATAAACTATACAGTTCCTTGATATAAAAATACAAGAAGAACATCTCATAACAATGTATTACGTTTGTTTTGGCACCCGCATGGTATATTCTCCTTCTCTCTGACTCTCCTCTCGAGTGAATGGATGACCTCATCTGGGTTTTCTTCCAGTGTGTTATCAACAAGAATACTCTCCACTGATTTCTCGTTCGCATCGTCAAAGTCGATTTTGCCCTTTTTATCGTCTTCTTCCTCTCCATCATCAAACCTCTTCAGAAGTCGTCTTTCTTCTCTTCTGAGTTGTTTTCTGTATGTTCGTATCTTCTCGGGGTTCTCGACCTTCATCATCTTATTTTCTTTCTTATACAGTTTTGCGAGTGTAACCAACGATTCAATCGGTGCAATGGAATACTTCAGCTTCCTATAAACAATTTCAATTTGGTCTTTTGTTAAGTCCTTGAGCATTTCTTTCAGCTTCTTCGTGTGAATCCCTTCCTCTTCAAACTTGTCAAGTAACTCATTCGCCTTTTTCCACCTATTTACTGATGGCTCTACTTCCTCAATTTCTTTATGAACTCGTTGCGTTGGTGTAACAGCTAACGACGCCTTTTTGAGCTCCTCTTGTGTCACGACGCTTCTCATTTTCGCGATCTCCGCAGCGTTCCTCTTAATTTTCTCATTAAGTCTCTCTGCTATTTCCTCGTCCAATTGCTTTCTCATGTCTTCCTTAACTTTCCTCCTGACGTCTCGAGTGGCTTCGCCACTCATTTGTCGTTCAGCCTTGATGTTTGCTTTCTTCACTTCCTTTTCCACAAACTTCTTGTCGTCAAGTTTCTTCGCCAACTCGATATATTTAAACAGCGACGAGTCATTCAGTTGTTTAATTAAGTCCGCCGTCGACACTCTCTTCCTCACAAAAGTGGTGTTATCATTTGGTATATGATTCATCTTATATTTCTTTAACATGATTTCCCTGTAATTCGGCTGTGTATAGAAATTGTCTTTCAGATGAAGTCTGTTCTTTTTAATATCCTCTTCGTCCCATTCAAACTGCGCCGTTGCAAATTTTTCAATCCGACCGACCACACCAGGGTCATACTTCAAAGTCCGTTCCTCGACTATTTTCCTCAATGTTTCAAAGATCTTTTCCTCAGTCTTTAAATTACACCGATATCCTTGTGCTGAGAGAAATGCAGTCTTTGTTTGTTGATATTTGGTTTCCAGAGTTTTGGAGATGTTGACGAGCTTTTTCCAGTTCGTCATAGCACTTGAAGACTCGATTGTTTGGTTGATTTTCTCGTAATTTCCTTTGCACTGAAGAATTCGAGTTTTGAGTGTTTTGAATTGTTTCTTCATCGTCTTGATCAACCCCTTTGTATTGTCGAAGTCTTTTGATTTGTTCACATAATACGGATAAACTCGGGAGTATAAATTAAACACCGTATTATTAAAATTGAACAAGTCGGGGTATCTGTCAAATTCATTCTCACTCTTTAACTTCTTGAGATACACTTCGGTCATTTCATACGCCGTTTTGTTGAGTGTCATATCCATGTTTGTGTAGTTCTCTCGGAGTTTAGAAACATTCACGTTAATTTCTTTGAAATCATTTTTAAATGCCGAGTAGTCTTGATTCACTTTGCCATAACACAACAACACGGGGTTCACGTATTTCTTCGACAATTGGTTTAACTCGGTGACATATCGGTTCACGTCTTTCTCAATTTGTGGAAATCGGGAATTAATTGATTGGTATTTCTCGTCTCCTAATTGATACACATAATTCGAATGGACAAAAGAAATGAAAAAAAGCAGAATAAAAATCACTGCCTTTCTATACATTATAGTTTTTTAAGTTTCTTTTTGATTTTAGAAGTTATCATTATTCATAAACATTTCTTATTGTGTTAAATTAGTCAATTCTATTGTATAGTTTCTTTTATTAAATTGGTTATTTATAGTTTATAAACTATTATTTTTTGTAATTGTATATACTTATTACTATAGTAATTTTAATAATAATTTATAATATGGGTATTATTATTGAAATAGTTTATATATATTCTTTTATTAGACATAATAGATATATTTACTATATACTAATGTATTATAAATACCAATTATATAAAATTAAATAATATAATAGTTATTCATATAAAATAATAGTGCAGTATAATGTAGAATAACTCAATTAAAATAGATAGTATTTTCGAGATGCCTTTTGAGCGACAGTAAATCATTTTCAAGTGATGAAGTATCTACATACATTTTACCATCAACTTTCCCATTTTTTGAAGTTGCTTTGACTGTTGTATTTCCTACAAGATCGACATTCACTTTGACTGTAACAGTATCACCTGGTGGCACTTTAACATCCGTTATATATTTATACTCCGAACAATTAATTCGATGTTTTTGATTTGCTTTTAGAACAAGGGTAGTTTTATAAAACGTCAAAAATATATCTTGTTCTCCTTTCTCACACTGATACACTTTTTCAAAATAAACAGGCAAAACCACATTTGTTGGAATAACCGTTTCAAAAATACCACTCACATCTAATCCGACAGTATATGATGTTTTCTGTATGACGCGATTGTATACGTTTGTATTTAAATTATCATTTGCTTGTATTGCACATCCTTCAGACACCGTTGTCATTTTATTTATTGTTACAATTGCACCATTAAATGATTTATACACATTTGTTATCGATGCTCTAACAACTTGTTTGACTTTTGGAATAAGTGCACACCCACCAACAAGAATCACCTTTTCAATTTTTTTCAGTGATAATTTTGATTGTGTTAAAATATTTTTAATTGTATTTCTAATGTTACTAAAAAGAAAATCTGCTTTGTCAATAAAATCGACTTTTTGTAATATGAAAGATTCTTTGTCGTCACATATTTCAAGTAAATAACCATTTTTAGTGTCTTCCTTTGTCAACAAATTATTAAAATCAATTTCGACTTGATCATTTGAAGAAAATGCAATTTTCGTGTCTTCAGAAACCCTTTTAAGAATATTCAAGCGTCTTTTTATGTTCAAGCGGTCTGGCAACAAATCTTTAGAGAGTGTTGTATAGAAATAAGGAATATTTTTTTCTACAGTATCTATGATCATTTTAGATACGACTTCATCGAAATTGTTTCCCCCAAGATCATTGTTTCCATCAGAATACAACAACTCATAACTTCCATTTGAATTTTTCTCAACACATGAAATGTCAAGTGTGCCAGCACCTATGTCAATCACGATGAAATTTTTTATTGTTGAATTCTTGTTAACATCCAAATAATAAAGAACAGATGCCATTGGTTCAGCAATAACATCAACCGTTTCAAATCCACCTAATTTAGCAGCTTCTGTTAAGTCTTGAATTGCCTCAGGAGTCATTTTGACAGGAACACCAACGAACATATTTGGTCTTACAATAGTGGGTATTTTGGTTTTAATTTGATTCATCAGTTTTTTAAAGAAAAGTGCTGCAATTTCTTTGGGGCGAAATGTATTTGGTTTTTGTTGTTGAGAACCAATTACGATGACAGAATTCCCATTTTCTTGTCCAAAGTCAAAGCCCAAAATATCCGACTCGTCTTGCAACTCTTCAAATGTTTTACCAAGAAAACGCTTGATATTATAAAAAGTTTCACCATTATCAAGTTGATCTTCGGGTTTTTTTGCCTGTTCACCAACTATATAAGATATTTTGGTTTGATTAGCGTTATTAAAAAGTTTTAGCCATGCAGGAATGATAGAAGAGCCACCATCAAAAGTTACAGTTTGGACATTTTGGTTATTTTCAAAATATGAAATAGCCAATTTGGATGTGCCGAAATCGATACCAATTGAAATTGTATTGTTTATTTGTTCAGTCGCCATTATGAATTGGAAGATGTTTGATTTATTGTTTAAATTTGTTACATTATTATTATTTATAACAATGACTTTTAAAATTAATTTTATTTGTCATTTGATTCTTTTTGTATTATAATATAATTTTTGTATGAAATGTGTTTTTAATGGATGACAAATGAACTTAACAAACACATTATTTGAATGATTTTATTTAAATCGAATAAATATTTTAGTTTTTATCATATCAAATAATAATAGAGTATTAACATTTTTTGTTTTAATTCAATACTACACTGTTTTAATAATTTAAATGGCGTATTTTTTTAATTCTTAATTATGTTATAAAATCGTTGAAAATTGATATTTGAATTGATTATCCATCAATAATTTCATGATTGTTAAGATGTTGTTAATTTTGATTTGTCTTTAATATTTATGTTTTTCGATTAACATTGAAAGATGGTTAAAAAACAATGTTAATAAATAACATAATGATCGTAATCATTAATGGTGTATGGTTTTAAAGAAATTGTATATATTAATGTTTACATAACATAAATAATGGTATTTGTTAAAATACAGAACAATTCTTATCTTCATTAAAATAATGTTTACATGATTTATTTGTAATTCGTTTAATGTCACAAACAATTTAGACTTTATAAGTAGATAACATCAACAATTTACTTTTTTAAATATATATCACCATTTATCATTCATAATTATATTCAAGTGAGTAAATAAATATGTATATATTTATTGAATTCAAAAACAAGTTTGACTTAATTAATATTTTTAATGATATTTATACGGGACCTA